AAAATTCAAATGAAAATTAATTGTAATGAACTTCTGTATTTTTTTTTAATAATTAACATCTCAATTTATTTTTATAATTGAAATAATTTCAAATAAAACAAAAACCTTTCAAAACAACTCATCTCTTTTTGATAAGTATTTGAAAGTACTGAAAAGAAATTTTCTTAGTCTATTTTACTCGAAAAGACATTTGTGTTTAAACATAACAAAATTTAAAAAAAAGAATGGAAGTGATCCTTTTTGTGCTTACATTATGGTTGGTATCAAGTATTCCATTAAAAAAAGAAAACCAATTAGGAAAAGCTCAATTAAACAGTAAAAACTTACAAAGGGTAGAACAAGTATTTGTAAACTTCATAAAAATGATAAACACATTATTTCCTGAAGATGAAGAGTTAGAGAATACCTTTCTTATAATGCGAGAGGGTATTTTTGTTTTACAGGAAGATTCAAACTATACAATGGAAGAAAACCAGAAAAAAAGGATTATTGAAAGACTTACTGAAAAAGTCAAAGTTCTGATAAGTATGTTTGAAAAAGAAAGTGAGTCAGTAGACTTTATCAATAGGAGAGTGAAAAATATTTTTGAAAAATATCAAGGTGTTAATGGTTATCAATTAAAAAAGCAACCATTTGATAAAAAAAAAGATGAATTAAATCAATTAACTGAACTTGAGAAAAGAAAAGTTGAACAACATAAAGAAAGAATAGTATTAGAGATTCCTGATAGTGTATTGAATATTATTAATGAAATAGAAGAAATAGAAGAGCCAATTGAAGTTGCGTTAATACAAGTGAAAAACAAACTCATACAAATTCTAAAAAATGAAACAAGAGTTAAAGAATTAGTTATTAAGTCAAAACAAAAAGAAAATAAAGTTAAGTGTAACAAATACTCAAGAATCAATCAGAATAAATCAGTTATTCAAATTTTAGTTAACCTGTTTGTGCGTTCAATTAATAATTTCCAAAGGTCGTTAAAAGAAGCTATTCACAAGAGAGTAAAAGAAAAAGAACTTGCTCGAAAACAATTAGAAAAAGAACTTAGTTCATTACTTAGTCATATTATTACTAATATTCAAGCTATTATAAAATTTGTGAAAAGTAGATTAGAAATATTTGGTTCTAAGACTATCTTTTATATAAACACCCAAGTAAAAAACAAGACAAAAGAGTCACTCAACACAAAAGAAGTCAAAGAGAAATAATTTAATGTTTTTAGTAAAGCTAAAACAAAAGAATTAAAGTAATAGTTAATAAAAGTAAATAATAACATTGTAATAAGAAGAAGAACTAACACTCTTTTTTGTTTATAACAAACTAAATAAAATAGAAAAAGAGACTAAGAGAATGAATAGTAAAAGGGAATTTGAGAAGTAGAATGCTTCTATTCAACAGTTTTGAAAAAAAGATAAAAAAAAGAAGGAAATAGTGTTATTATGGACTGTCAAAAAACACTTTTATACGAAAAAAACAACTTCCCGAAAAAAAGGAAGAAAAAGACAGTAAATAAAAAAAGATGAAAAGAATAATAGAGAATCAATGTGATAACCCTAAAAATATTTAAATAATTACACAAACTAATTAATAACAAATAACCATTGCTATGTCTCAATTGAAGGATTTACAAACAAGAGTTTTACATACTCCATCCAAGTGGGGAGAACCATTACATGCACATACTTTCCCAATTTTCCAAACATCAACATATCTTTTTGATGATACTCAAATGGGAGCAGATTTATTTGGAGGAAAAAGAGAAGGACATATGTATTCTCGTATGGGAAATCCAACTGTTGAATATTTTGAAGAACTTGTTAATTCATTAGAAGGAGGAGTTGGAACTGCTGCCTTTGGTTCAGGAATGGGTGCTATTCATTCTGCAACAATGGGACTTCTTAAAGCTGGTGATCATCTTATTTCTGGTGATACTCTTTATGGATGTACTGTTGAATTATTTGGAAATAGATTTAAAGACATGGGTGTTGATGTTTCATTTGTTAATACTGCATCTGATGAGGCTGTTGTAAAAGCATGGAAACCAAATACCAAGATAGTTTATTTAGAATCACCAGCAAATCCAACTTGTAAAGTTTCAGATATTAAAGGAATTGCTAAGATTTGTCATGAAAAAGGTGCTATTTTGGTTGTTGATTGTACTTTTACTACACCAGTATTCCTTCCAGCTTTAGAACTTGGAGCAGATGTTGTTCTTCATTCCATTACTAAATACATTAATGGACATGGTGATGTAGTTGGTGGTGTTGTTACAACTAAAAACCCAGAACTTCTTCAAAAGATTAAAGCATTTAGAAAAGACACAGGATCATTAATGGCACCAATGGACGCATTCTTATGTATTCGTGGAGTTAAAACACTTCCAATGAGAATGAAAGTTCATATGGAGAATGGACTTAAAGTTGCCAAATTCTTAGAACAACATCCAAAAATTAAACAAGTTAATCATCCAGGACTTGAATCATTCCCAGGTCATAAAATTGCTATGGAACAAATGAAAGGATTTGGTTCTACTTTCTCATTTGAAATGCAATCATTTGAAGCTGCTAAAAAACTTATGGAACATGTTAAATTATGTGGATTAGCTGTTTCTCTTGGAACTTTAGATACTCTTATTGAACATCCTGCTTCAATGACTCATGCAGCTGTTCCAGAACATCTTCTTAAACAACAAGGTTTAACCAGAGAACTTGTAAGAATTTCTGTTGGATTAGAAAATTCAGATGATATCATTGCTGATTTAAAACAAGCTCTTGAACAATGCTAATTGAATAAAAATGAATTTGACATAGAATTATTATTCCTATTTAATAAAATTTCTTTATTTTAAAGTAAATAATAAAAATACATTTAATATTCTTTTAGAATTAATGAAGATATAATTTTATTTCAAAATAAATATTTGATTTGCTTTTTAGATAATTATTATGAACATAAATATTGTTTTCATTTAATTGAAAATAAAGGATAAATTACTATATGAATTAACCAAATTGTATTTAGAAATATTAATAAAAAACAATAAATAAAATAGAATATTATGATACTATTAGATGTTTTTCTAAAATATTATTTAAAGAAGTTGTGGTTTGTCTTTGTAATATGTCAAGTGTTCATAAAGGTGTTAATTATTTAAATATTCAATTGGAAATATTCTTTAATAGTTGATAAAGGAATAGTTGTGAGAAAAGAGAATAAAAGAAAAACTAAAAAAACGAAGTTATTAATGACGATAATGGTATAGAATAATGAATGTCATAATTACAGTAATGATGTCAATTAATAACATCAATGTTAGTCCAAGATAAACTGAGACATAGTAATTCATTATTCCAGCTACTAGAATAGCCCCATGAAGAGATACAAATATAATTGAATATATAATATCTTTCTTATTACGGTGTAATAATAAAGAAAGACTAGTATATGAACATATCAAATACACAGAGTAACAAAAACCATTGAATGCAACAACAGTGAAATTTCCAATTATTGGATTTAAAAGATAAAGGTCTGCATCTCCTGTTGATAAAAGTAAATAAGGAACGTTATGAATTAATACTTGACATACAGCAGCACCAACCCCAAGCCCAAGTCCAACTAATTTAATTTCATCAAATTTTTTTGTAAAATAATGAATTCCAATTAGTGTTGTAAATCTAATAACTTCTGTAATAATAAATGAATAAATAATCAATACATAATGTTGATGTGAAAAAGGTAATATTAACCACACCAATGAAATAATACTTAAAGCTATCAACCATGAAATTGAACTATTATATCATTATCATTTTTATTCATTAAGTTTATTCATCATTTAACAAACCCTGCAATAGATGCTATCAGTTGTTGACTATTTTTCATGGCAAAATAAATAAGGAATATTAATGAAACTCCACTTGCAACAAAAATACTAGCCAAGCAGAACAACATAAACGAAAATTAATCCTAAGATTTTTAAGTTTTTAAAATTTTTTACTTAAAAAAAAAAAAAAGATAAATGAATTGTTATTAAAAACAAAGAATTAATAAAAATTTTTGATTTACAAAACAATTTAAAGAAAAAAAAAGAAGTAAAAGGAAAAATCAACAAAGTAATAACAAATAGTTAATTAAATATTAATAAAATTATTAGTTAATGTTGTAACAAAATTAAAAAATAAAAGAAGTTTTAATTATTAAAAGTAAAATATCAATTTGAATATTTTTTTATTTCTTAAAGTATTTTTTAAAGTCCTTGTTTTGTTTTATAGTCAATATACCTTTCTAAATTATTTATTACATCTTCTAATGAAGTATCATCTTCTCTAATATGTTCTAAAGTATAAGATATGAATGATTTATAATGTTCTTTTATAGTTTTATAAAGACCAGTAGTTTTTAATATTTCGTTAGTATTTTCTTCAGCGAATAAATCCAAAACAATGTTTAAAACCGCGTCATATAATATTTCAGTAGTTTCTTCCAATTTAATAGATAACATATTTTTAACAAATAAAGCAATAGAACGTAATGGAGCTTTTTCTTCTTTACCAATAATACTTAAGATATAACATAAATTAATAATAGTAGGTAATTCAGATTGACATTGTAGTGGAGTGTATTGTTGATATTTTCTTGTTAATTCCCACATAATTGTATATTCACTTTTTTCTGTTTCAATATTTCCTTTTAATAATAATCTATGATAACACATTAAACTACCATCTAATAATGCACGTTCTATTGTATTTAAATTTGCTAATGAATTCTTTTTTATATATTGAGATAATAATGGGAATAATATTTGAGCCATTGTAGAATGTGTTCCATTAATTTCTATTTGATATGAATTATCTAATATAAGTAAAACATTATTTAATGCACTAAATGTAGTTTCAATAATTGATACAATTAGAGGTTCTGTTTTATTTATTGGATGTTGTATAATTTTAACTAATATTTCTGGTATTTTTGATTCTTCAATATTTTTCTTTATAACTGGGTTTGGTTCATCATCAAATGTTGTAATATTTGTTAATAATTCAATTCCCATTTTCATTGCTTTAATTTTGGTTGTAATTGTTTTAAGTTCATTTGATGTTTTAACAAATATATCAATATTTAATTCATCTTCTTCATTTTCTTTATTATTTTGTTTTGTTTGAATTGAATGTGTTTCGAGTTGTGTTTTAATTGTTTCATATTGTTCTATAATAGAACAATCAATAGTTCTTAGAATAATTGGTAAAATAATAGGTAATGTTTTATGAATAACAGGATGAATATTATGAAGAATAGTTGCATAACATATCTTCATTGAATCAGGTAATTTAGAATCACATAATTTTGTTAAAATATCATAATATTGAGGAATTTTTTGAGTTAATAATTCTACACAAAGTTGATTATCATCTGTTAAAACAACAAGTAAACGAGAAACATTAATTGGAATATTATATGGTTCTTCTGTTGGATTAAGTAAATTTATTAAATGAATTAATAAAGGGGATGTTGTTATATTTGCTAAATATTCTGGTGAATATTCACAAAAATCAATAAGAACATTAATAATATTTTCTAATAAATGAACATCTTCTTTCATACTTTCTTTAATATCAATCATATGACTCATTTGGTTCATCATTAAAGTTAATAATTTACTTTGTTTTTCTATAGTTTTATTATTATCTTGGTACATTGCATGAATAAGGAAATAAAGATCTGCATGAAGGTCTAATTTAATATCATCTTTAAGAAGTAATTTGTATATCATTTCCATCAATCCTCTTTTTACTAAAACAATGGCAAGGTCATTACTCATTTCCATTGCTAATGTTTTACATGTATTACTTAAATTATAACAAAAGTCAGATCGATCCTCTTCTTTTGTTGGAACTTTTTGTTCAAATTGTTGTATAAAATTATTAATAATATGTTCTATATTATCTGGTTCACTTCTCTTCATTAAACACTTAATTAAAATTATTTTATTTTCTTCATTTTTCTTTTTGTATTTTTTAGGGTTTTATTAAAAGTTGAAGTTAGTAATGAAAATAACATATTTGAGTCATTGTTCACTTTTGATTTCCTTTACAATTCATAACCCAATCAAAAGACATCTTCTTGTTGCTATTAAATTTGTTCAAACAAAATCTTGAATGAAAAAGAAAAATAATAAACTACTTCAAGAAATACAATGAAAAATTAATTAATACTTTCAAAATAAGAAAATGGAAATACCATTCTACTCTTTTTTAAATAAAAGTAAACCAAAAAGAATGGAATTTAATAAAGAAT